AAAAAAAAAAGACATTTAAAATGCTTTTTGTTTCCTTAAAAGAGCTAGAAAGGGAGGGGTGCCAGTCGGTTAAGCATCTGACTGGCTCAGGTCATGATCTTGCGGTTTGTGGGTTCAAGCCCCATGTCGGGCTCTGTGTTGATGGCTGTGTCTCCCTCTCTCTCTGCCCCTCCTCCACTCGCACTCTGCCTCTAAAATAAATAAACATTAAAAAAATTTAAAAAAAAATAAAGAGCTAGAAAGGGAGCTGACCATGGACTATAATTTAAAGCAAAGGGTGTTCTCAGACTCTCTCTGGCTGTAAAGCAGGACTGCAGAAAAGTACCCCTCTGCTTTATACAGGGCAGATGACGTGCCAGCTGGGACCCAGACACACTCCACGGGCAAGCCTTGCTATACCACGCGCCAGCAGGCCTTCCACACGGTGCCGGTGCCGAATCCCTGGCTGCCTGGGAGGGTGGGGAAGGTGGATACCTACTCAGCAGTTAGTATTTCCTTAACGATTTGGTGAAGGAAAAAAAGTTACTTTCATTTGAGAGAAAAAAAAAAGAAAAAAAGAAAACCAGTAACGAGATTTAAATTAGGAAGTTAAAAAAAATTGTTTCTAACATTTATTTATTTTTGAGAGACAGAGCAAAATAGAGCATGAGTGGGGGAATAGCAGAGAGAGAAGGAGACACAGAATCTGAAGCAGGCTCCAGGCTCTGAGCTGTCAGCACAGAGACTGATGCAGGGCTTGAACCCACCAACTGTGAGATCATGACCTGAGCCGAAGTTGGATGCTTAACCAACTGAGCTACCCAAGCACCCCAGAAAGGTCTTAATAAGGTCAGGTTCTGGGGCGCCTGGGTGGCTCAGTCGGTTAAGCGGCCGACTTCGGCTCAGGTCATGATCTCGCGGTCCGTGAGTTCGAGCCCCGCGTCGGGCTCTGTGCTGACAGCTCAGAGCCTGGAGCCTGTTTCAGATTCTGTGTCTCCCTCTCTCTGATCCTCCCCCGTTCATGCTCTGTCTCTGTCTCAAAAATAAATAAACGTTAAAAAAAAAAAAAAATAAGGTCAGGTTCTGCAGTGACAGGGCAGAACTTGCTTGGAATTCCCTCTGTCTCCACCTCTCCCCTTCTTGCACCTGTGCTCTCTCAAAATAAACTAAAAAAAAAAAAAACAACAAACCAAAAGGTCTTAATAAGACCTCAGGTCACCTACTTTGTTGGCGACCACACTAAGGCCATCCGACTTCTACACCATTTATAGATCACACAGCCCAGTCTCACACTCCTGGCTGGCTACAGCAGGCCAGACATTCTCGGGTTTCTACAACCATCTCGCTGACAAATGGGATGGGGATCTGCAATCTTCAGAACGGAACTGAATTTATCATCAAGCCTTCAGCTGAGTTCAAATTCCTATTTTACGAGTTTACTTGAAACATGGCTCTTCCTTCAACCTCCCAGGTCCTGCTCTAATCTGAAGCAGATTCCTTCTGATTCAGAGCTCTTTAGGACTCTCTCCACAACCTTGTAATCTCCCGGTCCCCTGTGCGCTGCACCCTTGCTTCGCTCATCCGGGGGCCCAAGTGCCTGTCCCTGGGCATGTGTACCATACCCTGTGCATGGAAAGATGGCAAGAGCAAGTCCTGAGCCTGGAGCAGCTTTGTTTGTGGGGAAAGCCAGCGCCGTGCACATGGGGCTCTACTGTTCCAATCAGCGATGCCACTGAGCGCTGGGTCTTACTGGAACTTAAGATCTCTGTGGAGGAAGCAAGGCCCAAATTGAGTCTGTGGTCTCTGTGTGGGAGGGGTACTCCCGGGGGCAAAGGAGGGAAGCCAGAGTTACTGGAAATGACCAAATATTAATTTGGGGTGGTGGAAATATAGCGTTTATTACATTATGCTATATACCTTCCTGAATTTTATTTTACTTTGAAAACAAAGGGAGCACAGGAAGCCCAGAATGCTGCAGTCAAGAGATCGCTGTGCCTACTGACCAAGCTACCTGGGTGGTGACATCTTCATCACAAGGCGTGGGGTGGGCGCTAGGGCTGCCCACCCTTGGAGCAGATCTGCAGACTGCACAGGCTGCCCAACAGGATCTCAAATAAGGGGACTGAGAGTGAAAGAGGTTATTCTGATAAAAACAGAACCCATGGCAAAGGCTCCGAGTGGCCTCCAGGAGGCTCATTACCAGGTGCAGTTATCACTAGGACACTACCTGCAGGGAGGCAGATGGGAATACTGGTGAGTTCAGAACTCCCAAAGGAGGGGCACGATCCAATGACCTTTTTCTCTCGTCTTACCCCTCGATACATTCCAATAAAAGCATTCAAGTACGCAAGAGGAGCGAGAGGGCACGTGACAAAGAAAAGCCACAGATAAAGCTCAAGGGGACGGCGGTACCAGCAGAGGCAGGTCCCCGTGCCCCTGACCCTCCCTCCGAGAGCTCGCGTCCGGGTTTCAGAAAAGCTTTCTGGGGACTGCTCAGACTTGGAGAGAAGCGGTAACAACCTTCCAAACGCACAGTTTACAGCTTAGGTGGATGACCTCAGACTAATGCTGGCTGGAGTGTGACGCCTGTACGGCTCAAAATCTCTTTAACACAAGATAACCCCTTAGCAAGAGAGGAGAAGATGTAGGCTCTTCAAAGAGGAAATCCCGGCCGGGTGGTCTTGCAGCCACCACTTGACTCCCTCCCTCAACAGCCAAAGAAACGTGAGCCTTACAAGGCCCATCCAGCTAATCAATCCCTTTAACACGGCTGCAGAAACCCAAAGCTTGTGACCTATCCCAGCAGCAGCTTCCAATCACATTGAATCATTCAACCAAGAAGACTGCTTTTCCTTCTTCAACGTTCTCCAAGAAATTGTCTCCTGTCCATAATACCCTCTCCAAAGGAAGCGTGAACTGATACTTTAGAGCAGAGGCTCTGCAGCTCAAGAAGTCCATAGGACATCAGCGTTAGGGTGTTTATTCGTTAACGCCAACGTTTATTGGGCATCCAGTGCCAGGCCATGTGCATGACAGGGGACAGACCCAAAGACATAAATAAGAAAGTGCTAGAAGGGGCCTCCACCCAGTGGGCACAAGTGATGCTCCCCAGTGGTTCCTGAGCACCAGAATATGGGTGCATTCTGGGCACTGCGGGATGAACCTCTGGCCCCCGCCAGTACACATCTAGACGTATGTGACTGGATTAATAGCTAATTACCTGGTCAGGGGTAGAAGTGACGACTGCCCTAACTCCCCCGGATGTACAGGGTTTCAGCAAATCAAAGCGGTTCTTTGAAGCAATATTTACACTGTATCGATCTCAACAGCTGCTACACACACATATTCCCTTCTACTTTTAGGTCAAGGCTGGGGCACAGAAGAGGCTCACGGTAATAGGAACTTGTCGGCATCTACACGCCCCCCCCCCCTCACGACTCTACAGTACAAGCTGGCTGCTCCAGTGCCAAGACAGACCTTCTCCCTAGCTCTGGCAACTGTAATCTATGTGACTTCTAATACCCACACAGCGTTTACAAGTTAAAAAGAAAGCTTGCCATGTGTTCCTGAATGTTGAAGCCCAGTCAGAAACCCAAGAATTGGTCATTTGCTTCTACTACTTGCAGTAAGCCTGGTTCTCCATCAGCAAGGCCGGGAAGACACTGCCTGGCTCCCAAGCTATAGGGTTAGGGGAGGGCAGTGCCTGGTCCCACAAGGCCCCGGAATCAGGGGAGGGCAGCGCCTGGCCCCACAAGGCCCTGGGATCAGGCGAGGGCAGCGCCTGAGGGGAGGGCAGCGCCTGGCCCCACAAGGCCCTGGGATCAGGGGAGGGCAGCGCCTGGCCCAACGGGGCTGCGGGACCAGGGGAGGGCAGAATCCCGCCACATGGGTCTGCGGGATTAGGGGAAGGCACAGGGGTTGGCCCCACGGGGCTGCGGGATCAGGGGAGGGCAGGACCCCGCCACCTGGGTCTGCGGGATTACGGGAAGGCACAAGGGTTGGCCCCGCGGAGCTGCAGGATCAGGGAGGGCAGGACCCCGCCACACGGGTCTGCTGGATTAGGGGAGGACAGGAGCTGGCCCCACAAGGCTGCAGGACCAGGGCAGGGCCCCACCACATGGGTCTGCGGGATTAGGAAAGGGCAGGGGCTGCAGGATCAGGGGAGGACAGCACCCAGCCTCACAGGGCTATGGGACCAGGGGAGGGCAGGGTCTGGTCCCACGGGGCTGCGGGATTAGGGGAGGGCAGCGCCCGGCCTCACAGGGCTATGGGACCAAGGGAGGGCAGAGCCCAGCCCCAAGGGGCTGCGGGACCAGGGGAGGGCAGCGCCTGGCCCCACGGGGCTGCGGGACCAGGGGAGGGCGGGGCCCCGCCCGAGGGGGCTGCGGGACCAGGGGAGGGCAGGAGCTGGCTCCTCGGAACTGCGGGATTAGGGGAAGGCAGGGCCCCGCCACATGGGGCTGTAGGATTAGGGGAAAGCAGCGCCCGGCCCCTCGGGATTAGGGGAGGGCGTGGGCTGGCCCCACGGGGCTGCGGGATTAGGGGAGAGTAGCGCCCGGCCCCACAGGATGCAGGATCCAGAAGGACACCCACGGTGACCCCCCACCTCTCGGCCCCGTCCACCGCACACCGGCGCTAGCACGGGGTCCGGGAGGGCGGGTCCCCGTACGCACCGGCATGGCCCCGAGGCAGCACACCGTTCGGCCAGCGTCCCCGAGCGCGCCGGACACGGAAGGGAACGCGGGCCTGTGGTGAGACGCGAGGGGCGGCGCGCCTCGGGCCTTCCGCCGAGACCCTAGCGGGCGCGGGGAACGCGTCCCGCCTGAGCGCCCGCCTCTCGGACGGGGAAGAGGGGGCCTCGGCTCTGTGAGGTCACTCGTCACCCGCGCCCCGCCATGTGGCCGCGCCCGCCACGCACCTGGAGCCGGACCGGCTGCCCTCGCTCTCCAGGCCCTGGAACATGTCGCCCGCTGCCCGGCGCCTCCTGCCCCGCTGTGCCGCCGTTCCCGCCCGGCCCCACGCAGCGCGAGGTCCGTCCGCCGGAGTCCATTAGATATCGCCAATGCCAGTCACGCCGCCGCAGCCAATAGTGACGCCTGGCCCCGCCCCCGCCCCTCCGGACAGGCCCTGGACGAGGCCCGCGCCGCGCTCGCAGCCGATTGGTGAGAACAGATGCCGCTCAGGCCTCGGGCGCCGACATTGGGCAGCAGGGCGGCAGGGGCGGAACGTAGCCCCACCCGAAGCGGACATGGGCCTACGATCCCCTTGCACAGGCGCGGGCCGCGCACCCCCGGAAGCGCCTCAGGGCCGGGGACCGCCACCCGCCCTGGAGGCGCGCGGGACTGCCCGGCGTGCGGCAAGCGCCCACTAGCCGGGCTGCAAAGATGTCACTCGGAGACCGCGCGAAGGAGAGGCTCACTCGGGAAGTATTAGATCAAGTATTAGTATGTATTTATGCACAATAATAAAAACAGATTTACAAGTTGAACTGGAAATTTAAACATAAGAAGTTTAACAGCTTTTGTTTATTATATTAAATAACCAAAACACCTTTTATTCCCAAAATTGGTAAAGAATAAATAATATAATTTACAATATGGTACAAAAAATAATCAGGAAGGACAGGCATTCTGCTTTATACATACACTGTATATGTATATTTATAATCTATAAAACAAATTCACATCTCAAACAAGCCGAAACCTTAGATGATATGGCTTAACGATTATCAAAAGAAACAGCGGTAAATTCTGCGGCCCAGACCATAGCTCTAGCGTCAGCTATCCTGTTACAAAACAAAGGGTCCAGGTTGCTGTAGTGCTTCCAAGACTTAACGTGAGTTACAAATTACTGCGGGGTCCAGAGAGGTCTGACAGGAAAGGTTTGCGGTGGGTTTCTTCCTTTTTTTTCATAAGACAAGGTGCCCTATTTTCTCACAAATGCATTTGATAGATCTCAATGTCTTAAAAAAAAACCACAACTGCTGCTTTCCTCCTCTACTGGTCTCCAAAATCTTTTATTCCATAACTTTTCTTTGCACAAATTTGGATCCCATGCTGTGATCAAGTTAAAAGATGCTATCAAACTGAAAAGGACACCCTTTCTAGGATTCTGATGCTAAGTTGGAAATGTGAGAAAGCAAGTAGATCAATGGATGAAATGTTTTCAAATATCCCCACTCCCTGAGCAAGTACTCTACACCTAGGAGATATGGAAAGATGAGGAAAATGTCACCAACAATCCTATGTGGGGCCTCCAGCTTCGACTTCTGTCTCTATTTTCTAGAGTGTAATGCTCATCACTGGATAGTCACCATAGGAATCAAGGCCCAAACACACCAACTCCCTGGAGACCAGCTATCTCCCGTCTCAATCTTTAAAGAAGATGAATCAGCAAAAAGATCCCAGACAGCAGGAGACTGACTCGGGAGGGATTTTCTGAGGAACAGCCCTGGTCTTACAATGTCCTCGAATGCACGAAGAAAGCCAGAGGTTCACACGGAGATGACAACTTTCGTTGGGAAGGCAGAGGAAGATAAAGGAAGAGGGAAGTTTCTCTGCTTGGGTCTTTTGAAAATTCCAGCCCTGAACATTAGCTGCTTATTTTTATACACATGCATTTAGGCTGGGAGAAAACACACTCATCCTTTTAATGCTAACGGCGCCACTTCCCCTCAGCATGGCGAGCAAATGCTTATTTCTACCTGTCTGGTTGCTGCAGAAGTGGCAGAATTCTCTGGAATTGTGTCAGCTTTATTACAGGTGAGAAGAATCCACCCACTGTCCTCATTAGCCCACCTCCCAGCTGGATGACACTCCAGAGAGTCTGTGGTCCAGCCCCCAAGGGGAGGAGACACTAAATGGCCTACAAAAGCTGATCCAGATCCCTACTTTTCTTCCTTTTAGGTGTCATTGAGTAACCTGTGCCACCCTACCCACCAGACTGCCTTGGGGCGTCCCCTAAGGAGAGCAGCTTAAGACCTTCTACCGTCTCTGGCAACGCGCACACTGCCACCAGGCACCGCTCCCAGCACCGGTGCTATAACGTCACTTGGCGTCTCTGGTCCCAGACAGTGGGAGTAGAAGCAAGTTATGAGCGGCCTGAACTTGGTCTGGTGTCCTAACCTCCTAAAGACCTAACAAAGCCAGATGCCCAGGGACAGATCTGCTGATCTTATCACCTCAACAGGGCGCTAATTCCAGGAAACGGATGGATGGATCACAAAACCACAGAAGCTAGTTTAAAGATGCTGTGGTTCAAGTGATGCCATCTGTATCTTTTATTAAAGGGGTGCCGTGTCCCTCTCTGACACATCTCCAGAGCTTTAGGACTTTCTGTAGGAGTCCAGAAGAGTGGCTTTATTGGTGCTATTTGGACCCAGACCCAGACCCGAAAGAGGGAAACCTCCTTATAGGCAAGAGCTCTGAGAGACACTTAAGACGAGGGAAGGAGGCTACTGCCCGGAAGCCCAACTGCCTGCTCTCCTCCACTGCTCGGGGGGAACGACCCTGCCCGCAGCCTGTAGCGGCCACATCCGTCTGCTGAGATGGGGAGATCAGGAGCATCCCCTCTGCTCGCATAAGACCTTTTCTCTCTTTTCACGCTGCCTCAACTCTTCACAGCGGACAGGGAGAGAAGCCCGTGTAGAGGGCCGGGGCTGGCCCGGGAGGCTGCCGCTCCGTTCTGCTGCCAGTCGGGAAGAGGAAAGAGAAAACGGTGGTCAGTTCTGGCGGGTTTCAGAAGCCAAAGAGCCTGGCTGCGGGGCGGAGGGTGAAGCAGCAGGTGGGACGGCGGGACGCAGGTTTCACCCGAGCAACACCACAGCACTGGCTCCCGGCCGCCACAGATGCGGCCGCATGGTGCTTTGTCTGTGGAGCCTCCCAAGGCCGAGAAGCAAAGGAGCCTTGTTGGCTCCGCTCTGCGGGAAGACCGGGCACGGAACCATCCGCAGCGATGCCAAATGGTCACCGGGGCCGGGGAGCACACCAGAGGGATGTGGTTTTGTGTGCTCCGACTACACCCAGGCGTTCTGACCTCTGCTTGCGTTCCCCGCGCGGGAAGAGGAGAGACGGACACGGGGTGGAAATAACGTGAAGGATGAAATCTGTGTGCCCGGGAGGCTCTGCGCGAAAGCCCACGGAAGGGACAGGAGATGCTGAGGCAGAGAAACCCCTCCCCACAAGGCCCGTGCCGTCAGGTGCCGGACAGCAGCACGCCGGCAGATCAGGAGCTCCTTGGCAAAGGCTCAAGTGTGGTCCCAACAGAGAGAGAACATCTTAGTTGACCAAGAAGAGACTCAGATCGCCAGGAAGAAACTTGAACACAGGAAGGAAACCATTAAACTCTGCTCTTCTCTGACATCTCCTAATTCTCAAAACACGAGGAAAACTTTTTTCCAACCAGTTTAGCAGAACTTTTCCCCTAAAAGTCCACACAACCTGTGTAAAACAGGATTCTTTCCTCCTTCTCATTGAGTCAGAACAAACCCCTAGGTTTCTGCGGTGATGGCACCCGTTAGGCCGCCCTGTGATCCGAGGGTCCTCTGAGGGGTCTGCTAAGGGTAGAGACCCCACGAGGCAGAGCTTAGGCCATGCCCTGCTGTCCCTGTCATCACTCTGCAGAGAAAGCAACCCAAGAGTGCATAGGTTTGGCAGAAAGAAAGCAGCGGTGGCTGGAAGCATCCCTGCAGAGAATGGGGAGGCCGCAACTCCCTGGGACCAGCGACTACGCCAAGGCACACCCATTCCTTTCTCTCAGAAAGAAAGCCCATTGGAACATCGAACACAACAACTGAGGCAGAAGCGTGGGCAGAAATGTGGTCGCTATGCTGACCCTAACAGGAGACCCCATGGCTGGCAGGGAATTGCTCCAGCCCCATGGCCACGGCTGACATAGGCCCTTCCAGAGAATTCGTCCTCGTGTCCGTGCCACCACTGGCCTCTGCCCGTTGGGACACGCCTTGCTGCGTGTTGTGCGTTCTGGGGTGCAGAAGTTCCTCTGTTCGGACCATCCTCTGGAGGGCCTGGGCTTGATTTGTGTTTTCTCTAGCCTGAAGAGGGCTACACCTACCACGGTTGAGGACCACCAGCCACGTGAGCCCTCCTCTGCAGCCTCCAGGATGCCCTGCCAGTGACGAGGTGTGGTCACTGGGACAGGTCACCGACGGGGGGCCCACCTCCACTGCCATCAAACAGGACCTCTCGGCGGCTGGGGTCGGCGATGGCTAGCTCTTGGGCCAAATCATTGAATCGAGATATGTAATCGATGCTGTTTTCATTCATCATGCACACCAGCTGGGAATCCACAACCTGTGGGGCAGAGGACACAAGGGAAGACCATGTCAGCCGGTGACTGGCTGGCTGCTGGACTGGAAGCGAATGGCCACCATGACGGGGACTTCGGTGGATGGTCAATGAACCTGGCGTGTGTATAGTGAAGATTAGAATCCCCCAGCAACTAGCCATGTCACAACGGCTATTCTGTCACTTTGAGCACTGCCTCTCTTGACAGGTGTGCACAACAGCTAACCAGGCTATCCAGCGGCCGGGATCAGAGTGGTAGTTCCCAGCACACACCACTTAACAGGAGACGATCAATAAGCAACGAGGCAAACGAGAAGGAAGCAGAGATAGAGGGTGGCCACGGGGGTGGGGAGCACATGGCCAGGAAAGAAATAAGAAGTGCAGAGACCGTGAGGGAAGACAGGCTTTGGCTCCTGAAGACACGAGCAAGCTGGCGGACAGGGCAAAGGAAGGAAAACAGGGACAAAGACCAGCGTGTGCGGAGCAGAGCCCCGGGCACAAACACAGGAGACTCAGTCGTCAGTGTGTGTCGTCTGCCTCCTTTGCAAGGGGCGTTGCTTTTGTGCACTCAGGGCCCAGAGCAGTGCCTGGCATGGAGTAGGCCCCGGGTAAGTATTTGTCAATGAATTGCATGACACAGTGAACGAATGAGAAGGCTTTGGAAAATTCTGAGTACAGCTATGGTAGGAACCCGAATTTTAAATTTTTTTATGAGAGGCGCCCGGCCAACTCAGTTGGAAGACTATGTGACTCCTGATCTTGGGGTCATGAGTTTAAGCCCCACAATGCGATGAAGACATTACTTAAATAAGTAAACTTTAAACCTCTTATGAGAAATATCATAGAAACTAAACTTCGTTTTCAAAAAGTAAAGCAAATAGGGTCTCTCTTCTCCATATACATCCCCCATCAGCTTCATCATTGTCAATCTGGGCCAGCCTGGCTCCACATTTCCCACCTACAACTCACACCCATCACCTCTGTTCACATCTTATCAGAAGGGCCTGGAGACGGCCTAGGATGAACCCGGGCTGATCCTGGGAAGAACCGGGGGTCAGTCTAGCACGTGCCTGGGATGAACCTGGGGTGGGTCTGGGGTGGGCCTGGGATGAACCTGGGGTGGGTCTGGGGTGGGCCTGGGATGAACCTGGGGTGGGTCTGGGGTGGGCCCAAGAGTCTACACTTCTAACAGCCCCAGACACTGCCGAGCTGCTCTGGGGACCGCCTATGAACCGCGAGGTCCTGGCGTGCCGTCTACGGGTACGTGTGCTGCACTTGTCTGCACGGACGCTGAGCGCTCGTAAGCGTCCGCGCACACACGGGAAGGGGACAGATGGTCTGCACACGTGACCGCAGAGCCATGGGGTTTAAGAAACGTGCAGGGAGGGTGGGTACGGCGTTCTTCTGTCTGTGTCTCTGTCTGGGCAGAAGATCTGTTCACATCCCGGGTCGGCTCGAAACTCTGCAAAGCCTCCCTGCGAGGCCCCCACATCTCCAGGCACAGGTGAGGACTCACAGAAGCTGAGGATCCCTGGGAGACAGCCGTGAGCGCCCTTCCCTCCAGAACCTGACTATAAAATCCCCAGGAGATACCGCTGACGCCTGGACGTCCCACAGGAAAAGTATGTAAGGAGTGTTGCTTGAGAACCTAACAACTGACTCGACCCTTTGGGGTGGGGGGACCTAGATGTGGCGTTCTCTCCCTCTTAGGCACATCCGCTGCCTCAGTCTGAGCACCAGAGCTGCATGCCCCACACTAGCTCAGTGCACCTGTGTCCACTCCGTCGACGGGCACCTGTCCTCGCTGGCCTCACCTGCTTGCTGACACCATTCGCTCCTTGTGGGGCGGGTACCCGGGGAGCCTCGTGAGCAGACAATGAAACGGGCCTCTCAGACCGAGTCTCAGCTCCACGTCGAGGGTCTGCCATCACCTGACGCGGGCAGGAGCCCGGGGGAGCAGAGCCCACTCTCCAGCTTCGCTGGCCAGCAGCCTCCTGCCACGACGCAGGGGAATGCTGCCCGTGCTGTCGGGGGCAGCGTCGATGACGGGCCTCTACCGCTGCCTGCACTGTCCCTGTCTATCGGGGAGGGGCAGCAACGATGACAGGTTCCCTACCACTGCCGCCCGCTCGGCTAAAACCAGAAGCAAGGCGGCGAGGAACGGCACTCCCGCCTCGGGTCACGCAGCTGCTGTAGGACAGAACGAGAGCCAAACCCTGGCCGGGCTGCCCCCAGAGGCCCAGCAGTTGGCCCGACGCCAGGGCGTCCCAGGCTCCCAGCCTCCAGGGCCGAGCTGTCACTTAGGGTATGTCACGTGCCGCCGCGCGGGAACGGACGCTGCCTCCCTAATCGGGAGAACTCGCAGCTCTCAGGCACCACGCGGGCCGGCTGGAGGGCAAGGCCAGCTCCGGGAGGCGGGCTGGTGGTGGAAGTTGGGCGAAGGCTGCGCACTCACCTCAGCGACGTCAGCCAGGGACCTGGACACGAAGGAGTCTCTCGAGTTGCCATCCAGCAAGCTGGGGCCCAGCAGAGAGGTGCCGCTGGGGGGCCCCGTGGGGGTCGGCAGCATCTTCCGGCTCTTCTCCGGGGAGATGAAACTCGCTGCCGAGAGAAGGAGAACTCATGCTGAGGCTGGCTAGCCCGGACCCGTCCAAGGGGAGGATCCTGCGGGCCGCACGGGGCCGGCATCAGCCCCATGCTCATGTGGGTGCAGCCGTTGCGTGGTGCGTGGCCCTTCTCACACGGGGAGGCTGGCAGAGCTCTCCGTGCAGCGTCTGGTCATCACCCTCTCCTCCGTGTAAGGTTGTCTCCAACTCTTCGTAAGTTATATTTGACCTTGCAAACACCCGCACTGTCCTATGTGATTTCATCATCGACGCTGCCTACCCGTACCGCCATCGATGGAGCCCCCACCGTTCGGGGCCACCAGGCCTGGTGCCCACACGTGCGCCGACCCGGCTCATCGTGTGTACCACAGCCCCTTTCAGGGGCCACCAGTCCCCTGACGACGCGCGTGCCCGGCTGCCCTCAATACCAGGTGCGATGACCCCAACGTGCCACAGGAGCTCCTCCTGTGTAGGCCACAGAGGCTGGTGTGGCTGTCCTTAGCAGCTCCTCCCACCATACGAACACCTAGCTCCTGGGGAGGGGACCCATCCCACGATGCTCTGATCTTCAGAACATGCGGAGGATGGGGGAGGAAACTGAAAACCCCCCGAGCCGCATCCTGCCCTGCCGACAACAAGGGCAGAAGGCCCGCGCAGGCAGGAGCCAAGATGAGGGGCGGCCCGGAGAAAGGCACAGGAGACTGAGGGGCAAGGCACCCATCTCAGCTGGGCTGAAGGTCACACGTGTCCACGTTCGCCAGAGCACGGTGATGTGCATTTCCCCTGCATAAGTGTCGCGGGATGCACCCCGAAACAGGAGTTCTAGGACTTCTGCCGCAGTGCGGAGACGTTAGACTCCAGTCCCCGCCTGATGTGCCACGGGGAGCCCGCTGGCGCCCTGCTGGCCTGCAACGACGACCCAGGCGCCTACACTCACCAAACAAGCTGCTGAGCGACGAGTCTGTGGGGTCGCTGGGGCACCACTGGGGGTCGTGGGTAGGGGAGGCGATCCAGTCCGGCTGGGGGCTGCTGGATGGGGACGGAAGGCTCTTGGAACTGTCACTGCCATTCAGCTTCGCTGGAGAAAGAGGGACTCCCTCACCTGTCAACAGACACCCCGGATCAGAGATGGCGGGGGGGGGTGGTGAGAGAGCACCCCACCTCCCCAACCTGCCATCAACAAACAGCAACACGGCACAGTCGGGCACCACTGAGCACCTAGACCCGGGGCCACGCGGGGCCCCGTGGAGGATGAACAATATTGGCCTGCAGGGGAGACCCGTGGTGGCAACCCCAGTAGCTGTGGTTATGACTGACAGGGCCAGACCCCACGTTGAGGGCCACCCCAACCCGTCACTGGTGCCGACACCAGCCCTCTGAGGCACACGCTTCCCAACTTCACCAGGAAAACGCACGACGGTGCGAGTTGAGTTGTGTGTGAATCCACAGCCGGAAGCAGACCAGCTGTCCGGGGAGCCAGGGAGGCCAGGGCCCCAAAGGCCCCAGGCCAACACCCTCCAAGGGCCCGCACAACCAGGATTCACAGCTAGCCAGAAAGAGGCCCTCTCTGAGCCTTGGGCTGCAGAGGCCTTGCGGGCCCTCCACTGGGGCCGCCCCCACAGGCAGCAGACCCTCCACACCCCAGAGGGGACTCAGGACGGGAGCGTGCCCAGCAAGTGTGCAGACACCTGGCAGGCGGTCAGGCCCCCGGGGGACCTGGAGAGGAGGGCACATGGGCGCCCCGACCCTCACCATACTGGCCGGAGCTGATGGCGATCTCGATGATGGAGTCGCTGATGTGCGTGGCGGGCTCGCCCTGCGAGAGCACGTCCTCAGGCGGGCCGGGCAGGGAGATGTCCAGCAGTGCGGAGACGTTGGGCGGGGATAGGCGGCTGCTGGAGCCCTCCGGAGCGGGCACGGGTGTGGGGAGCCCGTTGTGGAGGGGAGCCTTGGCCAGCTCAGATAAGGAGAGAACAGGTGAGCCCTGGGCGGAGACACAGCGGGTCAGTCAGGAGCACGGAATGCAAAATCAGCCTCAGCTTCATGAGCGGTGACCACGTGACAGGCGGACTGCCGCAAACGGGGACCCGAGCGGTCGCTTCTTCCTCCCCAGCGAGGAACAGGCACAGGGGATTCACTTCTCCTGAAACCACTCCAGGCCGGGCAGCTCGGGAGGGCCTGGCGGAGGCAGCTGGCAGGACAGCTGGTAGTGCCGGGGGTAGTGCCGGGGGGGGGGCGCTACCCGCTGCCACCCTCCTCCGCCTTGGCCCAGGACACTTAGTCCTTCCAGGGGTGCATCTGAAACAGGCCGCCTTGCGGAGGGGAAGGAGGAAGGACCTGAGGCGGAGGACGCACGTTCACCTGTCTGGGCGAGGCAGGTGGACGGACAAAGCCACCGGGCGGCAACGGCTGTCTGTGTGCCCTTGCCACAACCTCCGGAGAAGCAAGGCGAGGGTCACAGGAAGACCCCGAGGGTGGGGGCCTGGCCTAGGGGTCCCGGGGCAGGCACTGTGCTCAGCAACCGACAGCACATCCTACCTGGAAACTGTCCGTCACCGGCTCCTGCTCAGGCCTCGAGGGAACGCTGACGAACGGGCCGCTGGCGCCCTACAACACCACCAGGACAGCCCGTGACCCTCCGCCCACACCTGGGGTGGTCTGCCAGTTCAGAAGGCAAGCCAAGTCCCAGCGAAGCCCGAGGGCACGGGCGGTGGGGGGAGTCGGAGGCCAGGCGGGGAGACAGGGCGAGCGACTTCTGCAGACAAGAGCTCCACGCCTGTCTTAGCTCTGGATCCTGCCGCATCACAGCAAGCCTGTCCCCACTGCCTTTCTTGCTGGCTCTCCCCTCGGGACCACAAGATGCTCACCCACGCCACGGCCTCCCTGGTTCAGGCACTCTCCTCCGGCCTACCGGGGCCCGTCCACTCCTCAGGCAGAACTGGGAGCCCAGCGTGACCTCAGCCCCGTGGCCTCGGTGCCCACGTATTTGGAAAGTGACCGACCTATCCCAGAAGCTGATGGGGATGCGAAGAAGCCTTTCTAAACACACTCACCCCCACGGCAGGGATGGGGTCTCCGTTCTGGTGGGTGCTGGTGGAGTCGTGACCCGGGACAGTAGCGGTCACCTCGTCTGAAGAGAGCGGGGAGATGCCAGACAAGCCTTCAGTGTCCAAGACAGGCAGGGGGCTCCCGGGGATGATGCCGGCACTTTTAGCTGCCAAGTCGATAGCACCTAGCAGCAGAAAGGACATTTCGAACCTCGGCTCCAGGGACACCCTGACACGTGCCCCAGGGGGCTCCCTCACACCTCATTTCCAAGAAGGCCAAAGGCCCCGAAGGGTAACCACACACAAGGACTGCAGGAGAAGAGAAAAGAAACCTCACTTGGAGGCTGTTGTGCTGACGACAGAAACTTACTGGCCAGATGGCCCGGGGCCTGGGGTGGAAGGGCCTTGGGCACAATCGGCCGAGACAGGGCCGTTTTGGTCAGGGAGGACTGGATGGGCCGGAACGAGCCTCTGCCTGTGAGGACAAGAACAGAGACAGACGCGTCGGCCTGCACCCTCTGACCGCACAAAGGGGGCCGCACACGGTTTCCTTTGAAGGCGCAGACAGAAGCTGAACCATTTCGGGAAGGACTGAGCCTCCCAAACCCTGGCTGACGTCTGACAGGGGTCAGACGGGGTCAGACAGGGAGAAAGCCCTGGCTCCCGGGACTCAGCGCCGCCACGCTCCCCAGGCCGCTGGAAGGGTGCAGTCGTACTGCCTCCAGCGCGGGCCCAAAGGGGGACATGCGCCCGCACAGCCTGACTCTGCCTCGGCAGGTGGGCACCCCCGCTGGACGGGGCAGCCGAGAGTGGGCACGAGGAGCCATTGATGCTCCGGCGCGTGCGCCCGACAGGTGCGGATCGAGGCTGGCTTGGAGGGTGCGTCGCAGAGTGCAAGCTCCGCTCGCCATCCCTACTGTGGAACAAAGTGTCCCTCAAAGAGCCAGGGCTCCTGCTGCACCTCCAGACCCTCGGCAGCGTGCCATGCACACGCCGAGGTCACGCCTGCCGGGGGCGGACGACAGGTGCTCTCCGGACACTAGCGAGCAGAGCCTCCAAGCCAGGGCCCCCGAGCCCACCTGTGAAGGAAGCTGCCCGCACCCCACCTGCCAGGGGTCCAGGCCCGCCGCTCCACGGCCCCGGCCCACACGGGGGCACACCCGGTGTTGGTGGACGGGATGCACAGAGGAATGCTGGGGAGGTCATGCCGAGAGCCAACGGCACAAACGTCTAGCGTGCCCAAAGACGAGGCCGGGTGTAGAGGAGGAGTGAAGCCGGGCACTTACCAGTTATGGAAGAATTGGACAGGATGGAAAAGGAACAGACGTTGTGGGACTGGTTTTCAGATGGCCGAGGAAGCAGTGTTCTCTGTGGAGGAAGAGGACCCTGTCATCAGGTGATGGAGAGGCCCTGGCACCAAGAATCACTCAGGGGATGAGTGACGGGCTGGAGGGGACATTCCAGGTAAGAGGGGCCCGAGGGGGGCTCCGGCACTAGAGCTGATGATACGAGGGCCCCCAGGGCACCCCGAGGACAGCTGTGTCCATGGACCCCAAGTCCCTGAATACTGGAGCCTCTCCGGGGAGAGCCCTGGGGAGCGATGCCAGGCTAACCCAGAACGCCCCCCCAGTCCTGCACAACTCACGAGCGCTGGACGGGGACGGTTACGAGACACACCCTAGATGTGGGACTCCTCACGTTTGCGGTGAATAAAATAAAGTGGCTCCTTGCGATGCAGACGGGCAAAGGGCCTTCGCCACTCTGCCCACCCGTCCCTGCTCCTGGCCTAGGTCTCCTGGGTGTGAATAATTAAGTGCCAACTGGACCACCGCCTAGTAGGGAATTATGGGAATTGCCGAAACCGTTAGTCACTGAAGTAAAACGTGAACGTGGTCTATCTGACACCACAAAGCGTCACGAGACGCTGCCGGCTCTGAGTGCATAGGTGTGGTCTCCCTATCCCGCAGAGGCTCCCTGAGGCGTTATCACAGAGAGAAGGTGGCTGCTACCAGGGCCACTAACGATACAGAGGGTCGACAGGTCTGCTCAGCTACCAGGAGGCAGCCGGGCAGCCCGCTTCCACGGCAAGGAGCCGTGCAGGTTGTGTGTTGGCCTCGCTTCAGACGCGCGCCGTCGGAGAGGGGGGACAGGAAATGCCGGGGCTGCAGCAGCCCCGCCGCCCTGCCCTAGGCGTGTGACAGCAGCCTGGATGGCAGGGGAACGAAAGACCAGGGCCGTGTGCCAATGACACTTTCTATAAAACCGTAAATGCAAAAGAGCACATACTACACGCGGTTCCGTTTACGTGAAACGCTCAGAGGAGGCAAATCCACAGAGACAGAAAGTGGGCTGGTGGTGGTCGTGGCTGCCAACGTCTGGTGGGGAGGGGCAATTCAGGTAACATGAAGATGTTCCGGGATCAGACGGCGGTGGCTGGCGCACAGCCCTGGGAACGTACTAACGCCACTGAACAATACACGTCAGACCTTTACGCCGCGTGAATCGTGAACCGATAGAGTAGTCACAAGACTAAAGGCCGCCACGGAAGGCCACGCAAGTCTGTAGTCCTGGATGGACTCCCACGAGCCAGCCAGCATCCTCCCGCTTCCCCGGGCAGGACTCGCAAACTTCACCCGACACGCCGAGCTTCCACGCGCGGCGCACACGGGACCTGGAATACAACCGTCTCCCACATCCACGGGGGACGTGTTCTAAGACCCCCCCCAGAGGCCTCCAAGTGCACGTGGCATCAAACCCCGCGTGGGCTTTTTCTGTGTGGACACACCTGCGATCAAGTTTGTAAGTTAGGCACGGTAACAAATCAACAACGCAGAGTCACGACGCGGTAACACCATGATGATATACTGGAACGGGAATGTGTGAGCATGGTCTCGAAGGATCTCGGCACCGCACGGACTCCTGTCCCTCAGCTCGTCGCCCACGTGAGCGGCACAGGCACATGACGCAGCGAGCCTACTGCTGCCCTTGTGACGAGCTGTCAGGACAACGTCTGCTCCCCGCTGACCTCGGGTACCATCCGTGGCTAAGGGGGGGCCGCTCTACACCATTCTGGGTCAGCCCTGTCGTGTCAGCTCATTTCTAAGGAAGTTCATCTCGAGACAGGAAGACGACAGCACTAACAGAGACCTACACGTTTATTCTCACGTAACACGTTGGTCAACGTCTAAGCTTACGGTCCTTTCAGAATCCGAGCGTCACCCCTTTTATCTTTTTACCTGTAAGTACAAATGCCCCTGCAGTCGCAGGCCTGTCGCTCCCGGGCTGTGCCCTCGGGGCCGCATGTGGCTCCTATGGGGTCTCTGGCACTCACTGTTAGGAGCTCAGGAGAGCCATTCCGCCCACCTTGCCAACTGCTTCTGCTGACTACGTACACATTAAACAGAGGCTCCGACAGTCCTCGAACGTATCTCCGCCCGGGACACTCTTGGGACTCAAATCCCCACAACTTCCTGGTTGTTTTCCAAGGGCTTTCCAAGCTATGCAAAGACTATCATTACTTCGGGGCACAGTCAGAGCCCCCGTTACTACTCCGTCCCAGGCACAAGGAAGGAAGGAGGGGCGGAGGCCTCGGTCTCACAGGAGGAGCCGCAGGAAGGCCGAGGGGTGGGAGCACCCAGATTCCCAAGGGCACCCTCACCTGGACCACCAATGGCTTCCGCAGGTGCCGGTTCCGCAACTTCCTGGGCTTCGGCAGGAAGAAATCCGACTGCATCTGTGAGGAGACAGCGCGGGCCTGAGAGCGAGCCCCCAGAGCCCCCGGGACGCGGGGCCCCCCCCTCTGCCGGCAGGGCGCCGCCCCCACTTACGCTGATGGAGTTCAGGTGCTGACGGAAAGTCAGTTCTGTCTCCTTACTGGGAGAGTAGAGCTTCCCGTGTCGGCTGTTGGGCGGCAAAGTAGTGGGGACAGCGAAAAGGCCACCGTCTGAGTCACTGCTGCCTGTGCTGGAGGGGCCAGCCACCAACAGGGGTCTCGGCGGGTTTCTCAGACCTAGAGACCAAAGGAGAGCCAAAACAACCACTCACCCAGCAGCACCCCCAGCGCAAACAGAGCGGTCTCAGGAAGAGAACTGGGAAGGAATTCGGGACAACTATTCCGATTTCAGTCCCCAAACCTGCTTCCCATCTTCTCCCTGGAACTCTAGCTCCCACTGTGAGTAAAACCTTGGCTCTCGCCGATAAAGGCACTCTGCCGCTTTCATCGACAGCAGGAAGTGCAGATAGGCCTTCAAAGACATTTAAGAGCTGGAAGAACCTTCCAGATCATCTTGCGTAGAGCAGAGGTCGGCAAGCTTTCTCTATAAAGAGTCAGAGAGTAACTGCTAGCTTGCTGGGCCATACAGTTCTGCAGCTGTGGCGCAGGCGGCCGGCCCCCAGCAGCCTGTGCGCCTGCGCGAGGCCACGCGCCACGGTCTACCGGTCCCGGCTCTCAATCTCTGTTACACCAGAAACAGCCCGGAGATAAAAGGACAGAAAATATTTACTTAGGAACCACGACTTTGGGACTCTGCTGTTTCCTGCATGCACCCTCACTTCGTGGTGGACACGGGTCCCCTCTCCTTAGCTCATTTACAAATCTGTGAAATTCAGCTCCTGCTCGTGCAGTCCAGAGACAGACCCTCTAGGCACCAGTTGGACTCTGGCACCACAAACGTATCGGTCTAGAAGGATCCCCAATTCAGAAAGAGATGGGTGTCAGGGTGCCTGGGTGGCTCAGTCAGTTAGGCATTCGACTTCAGCTCAGGTCATGATCTCAGGGTTCCTGGGTTCGAGCCCCACGTCGTGCTCTGTGCTGGCAGCTTGGAGCCTGGACCCTGCTTTGGAGTCTGTCTCCCTCTCTCTAACCACCCACCCCCCTTCCCCCACTTCATGCTCTCTCTCTGTCTCAAAAATAAACATTAAAAAAAAAAGAAAGAAAGAGATGGGTGTCCAAGAACGCACAGAATTATGTAATTTCAAAAACAGAACGGAAGGCAGGAAAAGACCACACCATCCACCAGCCAGCCCCACCATCGACACTTGAGCCTCCATCTGCAAGGACACCAGACCCAGTCTCGGTCACCCCAGAGGACGCCACACGGTGCTCTCGTTCAACAGGCAGGCTATTCCCAACACACAGAAAACAGGAAGCTAGTGACGTGCTCAGAACGTCTCAGAAAACAACCCCGGAGAACCACTAACACACAGGACGCTAAGTCTGTTCGGTCAGATTAAGAACAAGGCGTGGGGCTGAGGGTCATCACGCAGAGACCCCGGCTGGTGAGGGACGTTCAAGACGTCCAGGACGGCCGAGGTCCTGCAGCGAGAGCACCCACCTACAGGGACCGTTATGACACCCTTCACACCTGGCGAGGACGCAGAGCATGTGCCCGTCCTCAACGCCTGTTGCCCCGTGTACCAGGTAACCCAAGTCATGACCCCGAACTTAAGCTGTTCCCCAGTTACAGCTGGGACAGAGGGACAGCGCAGACGGGCAGGCCAGAGTTAACTGCTCGGGAATCCCTTAACCCGAGGGCTGACTTGTAACGTGAAGGGAAACACTCCCTTCTCCGACTCGCAGCCGCCGATTCAGCATGTTAGAGAGGCTTCCGCTGACCTCACAAGGATCCCCCGAAGCGACCCAACTGTCACGGGCCACCCCTTGTTTCCCACCGGGAGCGCCCCAGGACCTCAAAGCCTTATGTGTCAGGCGCGTGCTCACCTCCCCGTGAGGGGTGGGGATTTCTGCTCTAACATCCGGGCCAGCGGGGCCGGGCGTCAGGCATCCCCGTGCCCTCAGCTGACACGGCCCACGCGGCCAGGAAGTCACCGGGACGGATGGGTCTCACCTGAGGAGCAGGACGCGGAGCTCGGAGAGAAGGCCTTGCTGTTGCGCAGGGCGGACTGGCTACGCGGGCAGCGCGGGCTCCGGGAGCTGACGGTCACCACCTTCCCTGGCGGGGTCGTGGACTGCTCCTCCTGGGCGGGCCTCGCAGAAGCCGTGGAGCTGACGTTCCCTTCTGGAGCCTGGGACAGAAAGGGCCACCACAGGAGCCCAACTCAGCCCGTGAACAATGGTTCTGGGACGAGTGCCCCCGAACGGAAGGCAGGAGAATGCCCTCAAGCTTAGGGGACACCAACGGGCTCAGAGACCACACTTCTACAATGGCAAAGTGCAGCGTCCCCAAATCACTTGGCAGAAGGCCACTTTTAAAAGCCCCCGGTCGGGCAGGCCCTCAGGGGCACAACCATTCTCTGCTCCTGGTTTCACTGCCCGTAGGTGACACAGACAGGCCACCCCCTCGTGCAGTGACAGGAGGCAGAGATGTGTGAAGGTAGCAGGTCTCCCACCAGCCTACGAAGTGCTCGTGCTGCTCGAGGGAGCCGCTGGATGGCCGGTGACACCAACCACGTTTCAAAGGCCGGCCCGAGGGGGATGCACCGGCCTGTCCTGATCCTGAGCCGGAGAGTCTCTACAATTAACCACGCTCACAGTCCAAAAGCCCTCTCCGGAATCGGAATGCCAACCTCAGGGCTCTGCAGGCCCCAGCGCGGGCTGCTAACCCGCAGGGGCCCCGGGGGGAGACACGCCCTCAGGCCCACCTCAGGCCTCACTCTGGTGACCTCCTCCCCGACCGCCCCCAGGGCCCACCGGGCCGAGCTTTCTGTGAATTAGGGAGCCCCGTCCCCTGCTCTCAGCACAACCTGGTCTGCTCTGCTTGCTCAGTGACCCTGCGTCTTCCTGTGCCCCCACAGCCCCTGCCCACCTTTCCCGTTCTGTGGGACCCTCCCTCTCCGTCCCCTCCCACGTGGCTTATCCAGCGTCCCCATCCAAGCAGCCAACAGCGCGCCCAGCAGCCTCCCGTCGAGGTCCCGGCTGTCTGGGGCCCAGGCATCCGCTGCACTTGCTCGCAGGCTCAGCCGGCCCGCCTTTCACTCAAGGTCTCTGCGCTCAGCTTAGGCCTCTGCCCGCTGGTTCTCACACCTGAGCCGTATCAGAATTGCCTGGGTCCGGAGGTCCAGACGGGGTCTCAGGGCCACAAGAGCCTGCATCTCCCACAAGTCCCCAGGAGACGTGGAGGCTGCTGGGCCCCACCCTGGGGCCATGGGTCTGAGCACCCTGCTTTGAGTTCTCTGCAGTGTTTCCAAGCTGCTCCTCCCTCCTCTCCCAGGCAAGGCCAAGGCCAGGACCCGCGTCCCCTGCCGCCCCAGGCTTCTCAGGAGCTGGCCTCACTTGGCCTCCTTCCCCAGGGTGCCGGACATGCTTCTGTCTCACCAGGATCCTCCCCTGAGGCCTCCAAAACCCTAACTTGAGACTGCTTCGTAAATTCTTCATCTCTGTCCAGTTACCCAAACACGGCCCCTGTCTGCGCGCAGGTCGCCGGCCTCCACGCCACTAAATCTAAAAGCTGCTGTTCACCCTCGGGCCACACCCATGCGGCCTCTGCAGCATCCGGCCAGTTCCCATCCACCCGAGAGCGCCACCTCCCCCACGGCACCACTCGCACCCTCCACGTACTAACGGAGCACCTCTCAGAGGCAAAAGCCGTGCAGGGACGCAGCCAGGAAGGGGATGGGGAGCCTGAGGGAGAAGAATGGGAGAGGGGGGCGGAAGCTCACCGAGGGCCGTCCGCCCAGGAGAAGTGGGTGTGCCGTGCAGACGGGACTTGGCACCGAAGGGTCCACAGGGACCCCACAGTCCCGTTCTGTCCCCCAAGCTCCACTCCCTCCTGGCCACCATGTTCTGCCCGGAGCTCACGAACCCTCACGCTACCGCTGAGCCCACACAGCAACTTAGGAACCCGCTGCCACAGACTCTGTTTCTTGTGCCCAGGAAAGCCCACCGGACTTTCATCGGTGGCACCTTCCCACCCCGTCTCTGCTGACTGGACGCCCCAGGAGGGGGTCACAGCCACCCCCCTGGTTTAGGGGCCACCCCATCACAGAGCCTCCTGAGGAGCCCCGGAGCCCTCACCCCGTGGGGCGGAGCCAGCACCCGTCCGTTCTCACCTCCTCCCTCCTCTGAGCCTGTGCCACCGTCCTCCAGGACGGCCACACTAAAGCACAAACCGCCCTGTCGTTCTCTCTGCTGAAACTCGCAACGTTCCTGACGTTAGCCGAAGCCCAACCCCCACTGGGCTCCTGGAAGTGGCTGCTGCATCACCGTCCCCTCGGCCAGCACGTGAGGGCTCAGCATGATTACTGAGGCCTAGCAAGGCACGGCTTACTGGTCACTGTCGTCTTTGGAGCCTGGTGTGAGCCACGAAGGACAGTGCCCCGGCTTGGCAGCAAACAGGAGCCCTGCTCTGTGAAGCATGGCCTCTGTGGTCACCCCAGTCCCTCCTGCTGCCCTTCCAGCTGAGAGCCCTGGGGTACATGGTCACCCTGGGCCCTCCTCCCCTCTTACTGAGAGCCCCGGGGCACATGGTCACCCGGGTCCCTCCTCCCCTCCCGCTGAAAGCCCTGGGGCACATGGTCCCCCCTTCTCCCCTCCCTCTGAGAGCCCTGGGGCGCACAGTCCCCCCGGTCCCCCCTCCATCTGAGAGCCCCGGGGCACATGGTCACCCTGGGCCCTGCCTCCCCTCCCGCTGAGA